GGGGGGAGAAAGCTGGGTGCACTTTGGTGTTTATGAAAATTCAGTCAGCGACTTCGCATGGCCTTAGTCTGGTACCACATCGTCATCTTATCTCCTCATGCGGTGGAGAGACTTGTTTTAGGGGGGAAAAAAAGAGTGAATGAAAAGTAGGCTCCGAACTTTAGATCTACCGCAGATTTATAAGTCATGTGCATCTCAAATCATGTTTACCCAATCTCTATGAAACTAAGAAGCTAGAAAAAAAGGAAGAAAAAGATTGGGGCTGAGGATATCACTCGTAAAGAAAAGCGATACACTAAATTGATAAATAGGTAGTGGGTAATCTAATTTTTTTTAATGATCCCATTCGTGTTAATCATTAATTACAGGGCACAAAAACTTCATTCCCGTCTGTAACATGATTCAGTCATAACAGTGATATCACATCAGTCCCTGCGATCCAGTTTTTGCCGAGGCCTGTTGTTTGCTGACATTAATGATAATAATCCGTTGAGCCTCTTTTACTCGGAGTCTGCTATCAGTGGATACGAGGTTCGCTGTAAAGGAATTCATAAGTTTACAACGCTATAGCCATTCATACACTTGTGCTAATTCCTGTCGTTCCTTTCGAAAGGCTTGCTTTGCTTATAAGCTTTGGAATTTTCATTGAGGTGAACTTTTTAATGCTATTATTATGATAATAAACGAAAGTACAAATGACCAATGTTTTACTGTGGCCTCGTCAGGACAATATTTTTCAGCCCTACGGCGGCAAGTATGTAAGTTAGCAAAACGTTCATCACAGTGTCCCTTTCATTGTTAGCTTGTGTAAGATAAGGTAAGCTATATTGTATTGACCAAACATTAAACGAAACGAGCAGTGCGCCCCCATGAGATCTGTGACACAGAATACTTTTACATGCAACATCATCTCTACGCATCACAGCACCCGTCTTTCTCTCTCTCTCTCTCTCTCTCTCTCTCTCTCTCTCTCTCTCTCTCTCTCTCCCTCTCTCTCTCTCTCTCTCTCTCTCTCTCCCTCTCCCTCTCTCTCTCTCTTCCTCTCTCTCTCTCTCTTTCTCTCTCTCTCTACTCTCTCTCTCTCTCTCTCTACTCTCTCTCTCTCTCTCTCCACGTGTTCGTTTTCTCACTTTTCTATCCCATGCCCCCTAAAAAAAAACAAGCAATCAATATTTGTTTTGTACGGATCAGGCGCTTCACTGTCACACTCGGAAGACTTGAGTTCGGTTCCTGAGCATTGAGACTTTCTTTTGAGCAGCTGGGTCTTTCTGCTGGGGTATGGTATCCCTCTAAGCCCGGGTTAGCTCTGATAGTGACAGGCAGGGTCGAAAACCAGCTTCCTAAATGATCTAAATTGTGTCAATAGACGTGTAAAAACACTTGCATTACAAACCCCCCCCCCCCCCCACAAAAAACGACCAACAAACAAACAAAAACATTAAGGTGAATGCACGGGCAAACCAGGGGGGGAAGACAACCTGAAATGTATACTAAATTGAACACAACTTCTTGGAGGGTACTGAATGAACATACGAAAACGACAAGATTGCTCTAAAATAAAGATCAGTGAGAACCGCGATAAAGTTTTTCCAAACACAAAAGCAAACTTGGTGGTTCCGTTGGCGAAAACAGTCCAACGGGCTTTTGGATCAAAAGGAAATAGTAGCGATGATCATTTTAAAAAAACAACTGTTGAAGATTCCATACCGCGCGGCAATCTCTGACTGAATATTGACGTCATGGTCACTATTTTTAGTACCGGGGATCCATTTTGTTCAAAACAAACTAAGATTTACAAAATGGGGCGCCATGTGTCCTGCTTCATAACTAAACTGCCAGAAATACATCAGTCTAGATTGTTTTACGATTTGGAAGAGAAGAAGCTTGCCGTTACAACGATACTAAACATGTTAGGGTCACGTGGAGACACGTTGTTGTCGTCACCGTCTCATTATAGGCTTATTTGGGGCTCATTTGATGAAAAAAATGGGCCCTACTTTGAAGAACGTACCCTAAAGGAAATGATCCTAAAACGATTTTTTTTTTAAATATTTTCTAACGGAGGTTAGGGGGTATCGGTTCCCAAGATATCCAGGTACCCGAAAATGTAAAAAGTTGAAAATTGATATTTTGACCCAAACATCGTATTTTGAAGACCCGCGCCTTCCCTTTTAACGAGGTTTTTTTTTTCAAATTTCAACACTATTTAATTTTAGAGTAGACAGGACCTCCAATTTTTTAATCTTTTTAAATGTCTTTCTCTGACAGTAACAAGACATGCTGGAGGAGTCCTTTGTAATTTACTAAACAGCTCAAGTTCGATTACGTGTGTGTGTGTGTGTGTGTGTGTGTGTGTGTGTGTGTGTGTGTGTGTGTGTGTGTGTGTGTGTGTGTGTGTGTGTGTGTGTGTGTGTGTGTATTAGTGTGTCGGTGTCTGCGTGGGTTTTTTTATGAATGTGGGAGTGAGAAGAAGGAAGTAAGCCAAGAAGGAAAAGGAGAAGCATAATAAGAGGAAGATGAACAACAACAACAACAACAACAAGAAGAAGAAGAAGAAGAAGAAGAAGAAGAAGAAGAAGAAGAAGAAGAAGAAGAAAGAAGATGTTGACACTAGGTGAGAATCATGACGATTAGAACAACAAGAGCGTAATAAGACTAGAACAATAACTACTGCATGAGAAGAAGAAGAACATTAATAGAACACTATCACGAACAAGTAGATAATACAATAACTGGATGACAATATCAGAAGAAGCAGATAAACTAAATACGAAGTACATTAGCAAGACTAGCCGGATCACACGTACTGATAGTTCCAGAACCACCAACCCAGGTGTAATGACGATCTAGGTTCGGTACAGAGGGAGAATGATGATGATCATCTACTTCGCCGCTGCACCCCGTCCACCTGCACCAGCACTAGCA